TAATAATATATAGTAGTATATATATATATATATATATATATATATATATATATATATATTATATAATAAAAAGTACCATAAATAAATGTATGTGTACAAATAAATGTATCATAAATACCAGATTGAATTCATTTGCTTTAAAATTAATCAATTTCTAGTACCCACTTTTATTTTTATTTCAATCTATCTTTAGGCTGAAGTAAAGACTGAAGTTACACCAAGTACATCAACATACAACAACAACAATGACACCAATATAAATCTTAATTCTTCAAATGATGAGAACATTCAAAAAGTAGAACAGCATGTCTTAAGAACAACTACAAAAACTCAAAAAAATTCGAAGAATCAACAAGTAAAAGGCAATGAAGAAACTTCCAAAGATCAAACTAATATTCAAAATACGAATGAAAAAAATACTGAGAATGCACAAATTGTTCAGAAATGTGAGACAACTCCTACACGATGGCTTAGAAGTAGACAAAGTATAGAAACAACTGTTACAAATGAAACAGCTACTGATACACCAATTGCAAATAGACTTAGAAGTCATGATAATACTACTACGGAATTAACTGTTAGTCCACGTAGTTGTTCTAAGGAAAATAGTGAAAAATTGACTGGAAAACAGCAAGATCCACATACTATTCAAATTCCAACATCAGCATTAAATAAACTTCTCAGTATTGTGTCAAATTCTCCAAATATTGAAGTTTCTGTGAAAGAATCTAGAAATCAAAGCAGCGATATTGAAGATATTAGTTTCACAGTAGAATTATGTAAAAAGGAAAGTGATGATGTAGCTACTGCTCGAGCACGAGTATTTCCAGATCAAGGTTCCTGTTTGGTTGATAAGGCTATAGTTGGTCTTTTACAAAATCAAAGTTGTGTAGAAGTCAATAGTATAATAAATACAATTATCGACAGTAGTCTGAAAAATGGCAATTCAACAAAATTAGAAGATTCCGCTGAATTTGAACAAAAATGGCAAGCTTCTCAAAATCCGAAGGAACTTTTCAAGATTGATGGAGAAGAAATTCGTGTCGATGATAACGTTGAACACGTTGTTACAAATAATCAAAATGGTTATTCTTGTAAATTGTGTCGTAAGTTTTATGAACGCAAAGATAAATGTATGGTTCACGTGAAAACACATCTTGGTATTAAACAATACACATGTATTCTATGCAACGCTAAATTTGTATGTAAGTCTGATGTCATGAAACATATTCGATGCACTCATACTAATCCGAGACCAATACAATGTCCAAAATGTCCAAAGAGATTCAAATCAAAGTTCTATTTAATGGAACACGATAATGTACATAAAGGTGTGAGACCTTATTCTTGTACAGATTGCGGTCAAAGTTACCATCATAAAGTATCGTTACAACTTCATATGAAATCACATTTACCTCCGCAGAATTTAGCATGCGAATATTGTGGCAAAGTATTTCCGTATCGTACGAGATTATTAAGTCACATAGCTAGTGTACATTTAAAAAATCGTCGCAATTTTAGATGTCGATTTTGTTACAATCTTTATTCAAGTCTTTCAGTTTTGAATGAACATATTAAAACGCGTCATGCGACTACGTATACTTGTGAAGTTTGCAATAAAACGTTCAAAGTCGCGTCCAAATATAAGGCTCATGTATTACAACATTCGAATCCTAAGCCATTCGTATGCAATGTTTGTAATAATAGATATGCATCCAAAGCATTCCTAAATGAACATCTATCAAAACACGAAGGGCTGAGGAAACATATCTGCCAAAAATGTGGTGCAAGATTCGCTCAAGCTAGTCATCTGGCTGCACATCGGCACGTGCACGGTGAAAAAGAGCACGCTTGTCCGGAATGTGGGCGAAAGTTTAATAGGCGTGATAACATGAAGGTACATAGAAAAAGACACTTTGAAGAAAAAATAACTAATAATAGCAAACAAAAAAACACTTTTAGTGGCGAAGTAACTTCCACTACGTCTAATGAAAAGTAATAGTACTGAAATAGCTTTGATATTTTTGTAAAATTGTGTCTATACTATATAACAAAATATATATTATATAACAATGTTATATAATTGATTAGTAAAACTGAAAGGATAATGTTATATTTTTCGTATTATATGTATACAACAAATTAATCAAATATTGGTAGAGATTAAGATCAACGTAAGAGATTGTATCATATAACGCATTGCCAATCGATTCAAACAATATAATGTAAACATAAATTAAAAAGAATTTTTTTTTAATTATTTTTTAACTCTAATAATAAAATAAAGATCCGAAATTATATCGAAAACGAATATATTTACATTTTATAAAAGTTATGTTATATGAATTTCTCTAAACTTTTATATTTTTATGTTGGCGATAGCGTTTTTCAACAATGTTCTTGTTTTTTCCTTCACAGTTATTCATTGCATTGTATGAATTAATTCTTATCTTAGCAATGCAATTTCATTCGATTAATTTTTTAATGTATTGATTCAATTTTATCTCAAAACTATTTCTTTTTTATGTAGATCATTATCTTCATAGTTTACCTCCATATCTAATTCAACATCATCATTGTGTGGATCTTTTCATCCAGTTTATATATCTATTTCAAATGCTTTCATTTAGTTTTAGTACTTGTTATTGCCTTGCTTTTTATTTTAGCTTTTTTTTAAGTTCACATGTAAAAATTATTAGATTATTATATTTCTTATATTGATGCGTTTGTTTTTTAAAAATAATATTTCTGTATCTATGATTTTTTCAACATTTTGTTACTTTATCATTTAAAAATTTAGCTGTCAGAATGTTTTTTTTATTTTTTCGTTTTCCTATACATATAACATCTTACTTAATGAAATTATATATACATATATATTATGTTATGATATTTCTTTCAGTAGTAATAAATTATGTTTTTTGTTATATAATATAGATGCAATTTAAAACTAATTTAAATCGGTTCAGAACTTTTCAAAAGAAATGTTTCTTTAATTTTTAATCTTATTCTCTTCAAGCGATATCTATTCAATAAGTTTTTAAGTGATTGTAAAATATTGCTGCAAGATTTAAAAGTAAATATTTGTTTAATCACGAGAAAGTTATTAATCATTAATTATTAATAATTCTTTTAAATTTTGGAGCAATATATTAAATGAATAATAGCAATACTAATCAGTCAATTTACTCTCTTCCTCTTATTGCTCGTATTTTTTTTATATTATATTAACCGCGGTTTTGTACATAATGTAGAAGTGCATTTAAGAGAGTACTGATATCATTTAAGTATTTTTTCCATTTATATATATTACATTAGAAAATATTTTTGCACGTGAAACGCTATTGATTAGAATTTACCAAAGCTGTAATAAAGACACACTGCGAAACATGACAAAACATTGCGATAACACAATAGAAAAAATGATCAGTTAAGAAAATCAAGAATATTATTGGATATATTGTTATAAAAAATTTGTATGTTTATTGCACAGTTAACTTCCTAAGAAAATTTAATGAAATTTTTTTCATGAAAAAAATTGTATACAATATGAATAGGGCTTCCAAAATCAAAACTTCTAATTAAAAAGCATATAAAAATAAGAAAAAAATGTTTTCTATATATTTTTATAATTGTTTATAAAAAAAACTATAAAACTTTACATAATATAATGTGCAAAATATATTTTACTCTATTTTCGATTCTATTTTTCATAATATTTTTCATATAAATTATATTATATATATTGATAAAGAGATTCAATGAAATAGAATATAAAAAATTGAAATTTTATAAAAAACATTATTTTTGATTAACAATAAAAGTCTTTAGATATAGAACTTTGCTCGATAGATCTTATATTATTAAAAATAACAAAAATATTTAGCTACGAAAATAGTGTATACAATAAATTATATAAGAAAACATATGATTTACGATAAAAAATAGAATTGTATTATAAGTGCCTTGATCAACTTTATGCTATTCATATATTACACAAAAATATTAGAGAATGAAAAAAAGCGTTGATGATTTTTTGAATATGTATCACGTGCAATATTGATCTTTTTAAAAAGGAACAAAAAATTATAATTTTTTGTGCTCAATATGAATTATAATATGAATTATAAATTATACTGAATATTTTAAAAGAAATTATAAATAATAATTAATTTATTTTAGAAAAATTTTTTAAAATAATGAATATAAATTTTTTCATTATTTTTATGTAGAATTTAATACTATATATAATATATATAGTGTGTAGAACGAAATTTATTTAATGAAAGATCAGCGTTACTATAAAATGTACTATTAAATAATATTTCAACATATTCAGTATAAAACTATGAACTATTTAAATTTTCTTTTTATAAAGTGGTGTCCTATTTATTTTTTCAACATATGAGCATAAAAAATTATATATTACATTACTATCTTTCGTCGGAACAAATTGTTCCTGTGAGAAATTAATAAAATCGTGCGAAGGATATTGTCTATAATATTTACATTCTTAGATAATATAAGTGATAAGCAATAACTCTTATTTTGTACAAGAAATTTTATTAAAATAGTTTACTTTTCTATCTAAGAGATAATAAATATATCGGATAAAGTATATATATTATGTGTATATATGTATGTGTATATATATACACATACATGTACATATCATATATACTTTTAAATAAAGGTCATTAATGTGCAGTATGAATTAGGATATATAACGATTTTCCAATAATAAAGAAAAAAGCATATATTTGTTTAAGGATTCTACAATTTTTCTGAATAAAGGTACGATATTTTTGGGACCGCTAATTATTTGATTTTTACTTTTATTTTTTCCATTCCACTTTTTACTTATTTTGCATGTTTTCATATTTATCTTGCATGTACATAAATAATATGGTTCAAGGTTTGTTCTAATATCAATAATGTCTCTGTAGAATTCTTAAATAATAAAAATATGTTATTATTTAATTTAAGTTTATTTAAACCTAGGCCTCTTATTTAAATTAAAATAGATAATTCGCATTAACATTATTAAAAAATAATTGAAATATCACTTATTATCAATATTTTATATTTGAAATTTTATATTGTTTATAAGAACGTTCATTCTTTGGACACAGAAGTTTTTTTGTTGTTTCAGGTAAAAGAAAATGATGGATTGCCACAAGTTGTTTGTATACGATGTTTGGGCACACTGGAATTTCTATGCGATTTTTACGAGCGTTGTCATCTTACGCAAAAGGATTTTTAAAAACTGTAAGATATATATATATAATAAATTATTATTTTATATATATATATATATAATTAATGTTACTTTTAAAACGCATAGTATTTTTTATTCATTACTAAAGAAAAGTTCTTAGAAAATAATTTGTATATTTAAGCCCTTATTTTTAATCACAATATGATACTTTTTGATACTAATTTGATACTTTTATATAATATAAAAATCTTATTAAAAGATATTTTAAAATTATTATTTGAAATAAATTGAAATAATTCCAAAATTAACAAAAAAATAACAATAATCATAAAGAATTTATTATTATTATAAAGAATTAATTTATTTATTATCTTTATTTATTTAATATGATTTCAAAATTTTTACTTTAAATTCAATTATATTATCAAAATATCTTTTGCAAAATTATAATATATGTGTGTATATATAATATAATTATAATATGTAAGTATATATAATATAATTATAATAATTTAGAAATTTTTTAATATTTTATTTTTGAAGGATTGAAGGATTAAAAATATTTTATTATGTATTCTATATAAGTGATGATATTTAAAATATTTTTTTTTCAGAGCCAAAATCAAAATATAATAAATGAGAAGTTATTGCAAGATTCTACTAATGATACAGAATCAGATAAAGAAAACAATGTTCCATTTATAAGTGAAACTAAATGGAAAGCAAAAATTTTATCATCTGATAATTCAAAAAAATTAAAAAATTATCTGTCTGAAAATAATACATCATACAGGATCAAAAATAAAGAGGAAAGCGATAATCATGTAGATAATAATATTTCTATTGATAATGTTCATTTGATTACACAAACACAATTAAGCAATGTAATTTCTAAAAACCAATCTATAATAAAAAATATAATTTCACATGAAAATATATCAAAAGATGATCAACATAATGCTACTAATTTAAAAGAGAATATGTATAATTTAAAAGAAAATATTGTGGAAAAAACTATAAATTGCATAACAAGATCAACAAATGATTTAAATACATCTCAAATAAATGAAACAAATGTTAATATAAATTTAGATCAACCTATACGACGTAAAAGAGGGCGAAAAAGTAAATTAGAAAAAATGAGAGAAGTAAATTTAACAACAAACTATAAAAAGAAGATTCAAAATCATCTAAGTGACAAAAAAAGAGATAATGTTAATAATGAATACAAAAGATATTGTTTGCGTGCTATTTGTACCACTACTAAATCTGATAGTGTAAATAATAATGCTACAATCATATCTAAATCACAAATTAAACAAACAGAAACTGAAAAGGTGCCAATAAATACATCAATGAATGCAAATTATACCAAAGGTAATAAAGCTGATACAATCATTAATAAACTAACTGTAATTGAATCTGATAATAAAAATTCTATAAGATCTAATAATTTGAAAGATGCAGAAAAGAATTCTGAAAAAAATAAAACGATATCGATTATTGTGAAACAAGAGAAAGGAGAAACAGAAACTTCTTCTAAACAATTGAATCAACTAATTCTTAATCAAATACAAAGTCAAAAGTCAAAAGTAGATCAAGAAAAAACAGATTTATGCGTATTAATGGAAAAAACTGAAAATATAGAAACGAATTTAATAGCAGAAGAAAGTATTATTAAATATCCTGATATAAAAATTTCTTCTGATTATAATAATCAACAATCAAAAATATTCACAGAACAAAATCGAGTGACTGTTATAAAGTCTTCACAATCTAATGATGTAACAAATTTAAAAATAATGCAAGAAGATTCTACAAAATTAAACAATAGAATTGATATAACAGATCAAAATACTAAAACTGAATTAGAATATAATCTTAATGAATGCTCATTGCAACAATTAAGTCAAAATAGTTTTAATAAAAATCAGAGTAAAAATAGATCATTTGGCAAAATTTCCGAATTGATAAGTGACGAACAAAAACGAACTATTGAAAGTTATTATACAGTAGATATGTCGATTGTGAACTCAGAAGAAGTACAAAAAAATATAACAATAATTAATAAAAAAACATACGTTGCAATATTTGTGGTACTTTTTATCTTAGGATGGATAAATGTCAGGCAAGTTTAAAAATTATTTTGATTATTGACATATAGAAAATTATTTGAATATAATGAAATAATTACATATTAAAATATTATAGGTACATATTTGGGGACATTTACAAATGAAACCTTATCAATGTAAAGCTTGTGATTTTGCCACGGTTACTGTTAGTAATGTTCGTTGCCATATCAGAAAAAGTCATTTAAAGATTAAGCCATTCGCGTGCCATCTTTGTGAAAAGCGATATGTAACTGCCATTTTATTAGAAGAACATATTAATACTCATACGGGAGCTCGTCCATATAAATGCAAGCTTTGTGATTTTGCAAGTTCCAGTAGACAAATATTAAGTTATCATAATGCTACTCATAAACCATTAAAGGTATTATCAAAAAAAATTCTGTATATTAAATAACACATATTTATCATTTTATTTATTCTTTTTTTAATTATTATAGGATATTAGTTGTAAAATTTGCGGTAAAGAGTTTTATTCAAGAAGCAGATTACGTGCACATATGATTATACACAATAAGGACAAAGCTGTTATGTGTAAATTGTGTTCTGCTTATTTATCTAATGCAGAAGCATTAAAAACGCATTATAAGAACATTCATATGCAAGATTATGTTTGTAATATTTGTGGTAAACACGTCAAGTCTAGAAAAGCTTTGCATAATCATCAGAATGTAATACATGCTTTGCTATATAATCTATATACAATTAGTTACTAATTAAAAATATGATTATATAACTAAATTTTGTTCATAGGTTCATGCTGCTGCAAGATTTAAATGTACTCTTTGCCCAAATGTATATAAGACTAGCCAAATATTAAAAGAACATCTTTTAAAGCACGAAGGTATTAGAAAGTATAAATGTAATATTTGTGAAAAATCATTTGGTCAACAATCTCATTTAGCTGCTCATATGGCAGTACACAGTAATATTAGGTAAGGTTTCTTAATAATATTTTAATAACATCTTAATAGCTTTTCACATCAATTTAATTATATCTTATTCATAGATTCCATTGTCCCGGATGTGATAAGCCTTTTAATCGGCAAGACAATATGAAAATACATACTAAACGATGCAAACCATTTCTGGCAAATCCAAATCTAAAAAATCTTTTAAGTAAAAGAGAAAGAACTATATCGTTTAATAATATAGCAGAATTAACTGCAGAATTGAAGAATGGAAATGTAACAAATTCAATATCAGTTCCTCTCAAAAATCAGAATGATAAGACATTAGTAAAGACTGTAGAAGAAAAACAAAAGACTGTAATAAATCTCTGCAAATTAGGATTAAATATCTCTTGTATTAAACCAACAAATGATAAAAGTTGTCCTGATCATGTTACAAATTCTTTTGAAAAGAATGTAGATAACAATGATAAATTAATTTCAGAAAATGAAAAATTGTTAGTTTTTGAAAATATTTTAGGACCAGAAAATTATTAACAATTTTTTTCTATGAATTATATGAATCAATATAAGAAAATTTCATCATTAAATATCTTATAAACCAATACAAGAAATATTCATATAATTACAAAATTAAATGATTTTTTTTAAATCATTATATTTTCAATAGAGTTCATAATTTAATAATACTTAGAATTTATATTTGATATATTTAAATAATCATTCCATACAATTTATTAAGCTAAGATTTTAATTATAATTTAATACTATATTATATCAATTTTTAACTAATGTGGTTTAATGTTGTGCGATATTTTTATAACAAAATATGTTATATTTTTTCAAATTTATCTATAAATTAAATAGACTATAGCATATGAAAATACTATGTAAAAATCGATATGCATGAATAATGATTTAATTAATATTATCTAAATCATTATTTGTTCAATAATCGTGTATTTCGATTTTTATCTTGCTTTGATGAAAACTTCAATTATAACCAAAGAAAACACCTTGCTATTATAAATTTATTACCTTTTTACATAATAATAGAATAAAGTTTCATCAAGGTGAAATAAAATACTCTTACGCTTATTTACTTACTAGTAAAGAAATAAGACTGATAATTGATATAATGTATTTAACTTTATAACTAGAAGTTCCTATTAAAAATAATTAGGCCTTAAAAATTTATTTCACATGGGAATAAAAATCTCAATGTAATATTAAAATTTCAATCGTGATTATTATCGTAATAATGAATTTTTATCATTTAATTTTTTTAATTAAAATAAATACAATACTTGCCATTTAAACCAAATGAAAAATTAAAAAATAAAGACTTCACTTAAATTGTATTTTAATATTTCATATTCTAAAAATGTAATTTATGAAAATTACTTCAATAAAGTTTGAATAAATTTACTAATATTCTTCAAATAACATTTGTAGTTTATATTATATATTATATATATATATATATATATATATATATATATATATATATTATTATTTATTATATATAT